TTCTTTTTGGTTTTGTTTTGCTTCTGAGACTTTGTAGACTGTAGCATGTTGATATTTTTGGCCCCAATTTTGGAGTCTTGATCTGTGCACAGGTTGGGGATCCAGCCAAATCCCCCGCCCTTTCGGGACGTTGTTTGCAAAAAAATAAAAATAAAAAAAAAATAAAACCTAGCAACTACTTAGAACTAACTTAGCAACAAGATAGAACTAACCTAGCAACAACAGACAGCTAACCTAGCAACTAGACATAACTAACCTAGCAACAAGATAAAAATAACCTAGCAACAACATACAACTGACCTAGTAACTAGACATAACTAACCTAGCAACTAGACAAAACTAACCTAGCAAGAACTAATAACTAACATACCAACTACAGAAAACTAACCTAGCAACTACAGACAACTAACCTAGCAACTATATAGAACTAACCTAGCAACTACAAATAACTAATCTAGCAATACCTAGCAACTACAGAGAACTAACCTAGCAACTACAGAGAACTAACCTAACAGCTAGAGAGAACTAACCTAGCTACTAACCTAGCAACTACAGAAAACTAACCTAGCAACTAGAGAGAACTAACCTAGCAACTACAGAGAACTAACCTAGTTGGAAGGTTAGTTGTTAACGGTGAACGCCGGATGTCAACGGATTTCGCCGGAAGTCAACGACAGAAGTGTTAGTGTTATATACTGAAAGCTTGGCTTTGCATGTTATTACACATTAGCCCTTTATGAATGCGAATCGTGTTAGATTAAATAAGTTCTACGTTCTGTTGTTCTACACTTAGATAGGGTGGGTCATCATCGGGCGAACCGAAGATCACTCTATTAGTCACTTGCGAACAATAATAGTTGTTCACAACCTATAAGGACATGAACACCCCATCCAAGCGGTTGTAGTGTCAACTGTACAGTTTGTCTAGACTGATTAGTTGCACTAGTACATTTATGTATTGAACAGGATCCCAGAGAGGAGAAGTTCATTTTATACTGATCGTCGTAAATGAACTAGGCCTCGGTTAATTACTGCGTTCTCTTAACCCGTAAGATATTGAACAGGAAGATATATATAATATATACTACTTTGATTCACATGGGTGAGGTTCAGCTCGCTGGATTAATATTCCTACTACTTTGGGTGATATTATTATATATAGGATGTGTTGTTAAGATATTTACGGTCACCATGTGCGTTAGTTTGATGATGTCCCCAGAGTGAGTTCATGAAGGATTGTAATGCTAAACCCTGCAGGTGGATTAAGTTCCGGCATAATAAGAATGTGATGAACGAGCGCTAGCTTCGATGAAATAATAATAAATTAATTAATTCTTGATTGTCAGTAATCGAATTAATTAATGGACATTATATCTTAAACGTGGGGAGGTAAATCGAGTAATTATTATTGGAGTCTCAAATGTAATTTGGGCTAAGAAAAGGAAGTGCAATAATATAATGTTGGTGGCCCATTAATATTATTTAATTAATTAGAGGAGTGGGCTTGGCCCACAGTTAGTCTAATTAATTAAGGAGCCCTTTTACTAATCTCCTAAGGGTCCCTACTGTAGCTCTATATATACATCATTAAGCTCATGAGAAGAGAATCTCAATCTCATTCACATGTGAATAACACCCCACGTCTCTCTCTCTAGATCTCATTCGAGCTTTATCTTCTTCTTGTTGCTCCACTGGTACAAGTTGAAGAAGGGTGTATTGAGTAATACAGTAGAAGATCTGTAGGTAAACCGAGACGAAATATATTTTGTCCTACAGAACTAACCGGAAGTCCGATTGAGACGCACAACATATATACCCAGACGACCGTCTCGACGAGAGCTTTCCATCGCCACCGAGATCTCCAGATTCCGAAGCCACACGCGCCCTCACGCGCCGTCGGAAGCTCCCAGGCTGCAAGTTTCGTTTTGATCTGTTTGCATCCGTTTGATCCGATTTTGATCTGATCTTGTTCGTGCAACCTAAGACGTGATTTGCGGTCAATCAATTACAGTAAACCGTTCGTGGTCAACCAGATCTACCTAAATTTTAAGCCGTAAGTTCTCTACGTCAAACCTTTAGATCCGTTGCGCATAGGTTTACGTTTGCTATTGAATTCGTGACTTATACATAACGAGATCCTCACAGATCCCAACGACAGAAGTCAACGATCAACGCCAGAAGTCAACGGTCAACGCCGGAGTCAACAGGTCAAAATAATATTTAAATAATTAAAATAATAAAAAAAGAGAGTAAATCTTGGCCACACACCTTGTAGCTAAAAATGAGTCCCACGTCCTCACTTTAAATAAGTGGATGCATTGGAACCAATCCCTATATATATATATATATATATATGGTTGGGTTCAAGTGAGGTGATCAG